TTAATTATAATATATTAATTATAATATATTAATTATTTAATTATATTAATTGAAGTTATTTATAAACAACTGAAAAGAGTCATGTTACAATCATTACCGAAATATACAATTAAAAAAATGTTACCTTGCTTAGCAATGTCATTTGTAGCGTAACCATGAATGAGTTTTCCATTATTAATCTCGTTTTTTTCCTCCGAGAACTTTTCCTGCAAATTACTGATATCATTTTTGTCTTTGATCTTTGTTTTGTCCAAGTTATCGCTGTTCTTCAATATACCCGTCGCAGCAGTGTAATTATTCATTCCCTCTTTCGTCTCGGGGAACGGATGTCCTTCACGTATATCGTATTTGCCGTTGTTTATCGCATTAATTAAATTCTTGATATTATCACCATATTCGCCGCACGATACTTCAATGACTATAAAGCAGACCAGATATCATATATACCATAAATATCATATACCATAAATATTTATGTAAACAAAAATTACTAATTTATTAAAATAAAAAAAACCTTTTATAGAGACTAATTTTTCAAAAGCACATATTTTCTTCTTACTTTATCTTTGTTTTAATATATTAAAATAATCTTATTTAAAAATACTTACTAAACGATGCTGGGTTGTGATAGCTCGGACAATTGAGGCCAATTGTTCTTAGGAAAGGCACCAACTGTGATGTAGAACCTTGATAAACGCATTGACCTTCGGCTAACGTGTAGAGAGCATCGAACATCTCAAAAAGTCTTGCACTAGGCTGATGAATTGTACAAATTATCGTTCTGCCGCCACGTGCCAAAGTTTTCAGCAACGAGATGCATTGAAAACAGGATGAGGAGTCCAAACCGCTGTAAACAACCAAATAAAATCAATCATTATAGTATATAGTATATAGTATACTTATACTTTCTTCTTCATTATATTAGCATATATTTGCATATTTTATGACAGCATTAGAAAATAAAATTGTATTGACATCTTATATAATATTATATGTATATACATCGACGAGATACTATTAAAGATCCTGGGCAAATTTCGGCGGTATAAAAAGGGCCCCAAGGGAGGTAATTGAAGAACGTAACATAAACATTTGGCAAAATTTACATTATTAAATTCATGATTTTTTAGTACATAAATACATATGCGTACTTGTAAAGCTATAATATCCTATATATTACTCCTATATAGAGAAAAATTACAATTTTTTCTCTGCAATTATCATTTCTATTGATAATCAAACTTTGACGAATAATTGAAATCACAATTTTAAAGAAAAATCGAGTATTATTGAGTTCTAAATGCATAAATATGTCTATTAAACTAATAAATCATAAAATTAGTACAATATTAACAGTTTTAATTAATCAATATTTACAAGAATGCGAATTCCGATAAGGATGTCAGTCTTTTTAATAGTATCTCGTCGGTGGTATATATTATATATTCATATAACAAAATAAAAATGAATAGAATTATATATGTTTTATTTTTTTATCCGCGCAATATCCATTATACGTGCTAATGAAGAAGTATATAATTAATTTTTTTTTTCCTCTAACATGATTAACTATGAATCGTTAAGAAAGTAATTTTTTGTATAAAGGAGGATCAAGTTCTCGTATAGACCTTGAAAGAGTTGAAAGGACCGGTCTAATTTACTTTTGTGACGTTTGTCTTTTGCCATAAAGGAAACTGAGATTGAGCGGTTCTTACGAAACCGGTTGAGAAATGAGAAACATTTTGCGTAGAACGTGATATTACACACGTAGACTAGGAAATCGAATTCAAATCTTTTGTATAACATGAATTATTTTCATTAATTTGTGTCATTACACAAACATGACATATCCATTACAAAAATCTAATATTGAAAAACAGTAGTTAATTACTCTAAGTAAAAACACTGTTATTCAGTACTTGAAATAAATAACTGTCTTCTAGTAATAAATTAGCCAATATTAGATTTCTATAAGAGATGAGCTAATTTATCATAAATCATCATATATGATAAATTCGTCAAATGAAATACGTCGCTGTAGATGCAACAATTTCAATATACCGTCTTTCGTCAGTGAAAGTCTTCAACAAGAAAGAAACGTTTAAAAAAATTTAGCATCGTTTACTTTCTCCCGCGTTATGCCCTTTTGTATTTCATTTCGATTGATGTGAGATATTTTTTTTGTGCGATATTTGTATATTTATAATTTGTAATTTATAATTTGTAATCTTTTTATATATTACAGGATTCAAAATGTGGATCAGTTTTCAGAATAATAAGTAGAAGATATTAAAAAAATTAATCTAATAAGTTATTTAATTTTCGGACAGACTTGTGATAGTTCTTAAGATTCAATGTTCGTGTAAACATTTATCATTATATAGTTATATGGAAGATGCAGTCACTTCGTTGCAAATCCGGAACGCGGCCGAATGCTTGTTGTATCGAGAGTTCCTTGAAAGTTGCAAAGAGAAATTCAATGTGAACTATATGACGCAGTTATTAAAATTAAAAAAAAAAATTCATAATCTGATTTCCGTAATCTTATAAAAATATGTGATTTCCTGGTGATATTGGCCATGTTAAGATCGAGATTCGAAAATCAAAGAAATTATCAAGAAAAGATGGAGTTTCTCTCTCATAAGTCTCATTTAGAGAAAGCAAAAGAAATCGTTACTGATGGATTTCTTGTTGACAGATTCAAGATTTATTCAACCAAATTTTTGAATACATTATTTAAGTACTGTACACACTTCCTAGTTCTCTTAAATTCTCTTTAGTTATTGCTCTCATTCTCATTGTGCAAGTTGTGTCATAAAATTCGTCCTTGAATTAAAATTATTGTATACACAGAGAATTAAAATTACGTCACTTATAATAATTTATCAATACATTGTAATTTTTATCACAATATAATGTACATATTCATCTGATTGTGAGTTAATATGTTGGAAATTTGTTCAAAATTAAGTTTTAAATTTATAAAAATATGGTTATAATTAGCCACAAGATTACTGTAGCAATACTGAATTATGTATTTTTCATAAAATTTAAAACTTACCTAGTCGGTTCGTCGAAAAACATTATAGGAGGATTATTCACTAACTCTAGAGCGATGGAGAGCCTTTTCTTTTGACCGCCACTCAGGTTCGAGGTCATAGTACGGCGATGCTCAGACAAGCCGAGAGTTTCAAGTATTTCCTGGATCTGGGCAGAAGGATAAATAAACGTCAATTAATAAATTAATAACACATAAAATTGAATATGTTAAAGATTTGCATTAAATTTTTATTTGTACAATTAAAAAATAATGTTGATAATTAACTGAAATTACACAGATTTTCTCAGATTCTCATGAATAATAAATATTAATAAATAATATTTTTTCTAGCACTGAAGTAGATGAAACAAACACAACGAAATGAATTTTTCTATTTCACTATGTATAATATTATATATGTAATATTTATGCATTTTATATTTATGTACATACGAATAAACAATTAAATTTAATCGTTATTATGCTATGCTTTATCAAAAGGAAAAGATCAAATAAGAGAATTAATTTACCACTTCTTCTTTCTCTGCTTGATTAACATGTGAGCTGAGCTTAAGGTTCGCTGCAACCTTCATAGCTTCCGCTACCGTTAGATTCATATGAAGTTGATTATCTTGCATGATGTAGCAGGAGAGTTTCCTGAAGGCACTGAGGTTTCTTTCCTGGCCATTTATCGTGATGCTGCCTTCTGCACTTGACATCCTGGTAAAAAAATTTCTAATAAATAATTTGACATGGAAAATATACAATTTGCTTGTAATAATTTTGTAGCGTTTTCCCATAAATACATATCGCATCATAGAATTAATAATTTATAGAAGAGAATTTATACACGCGTATTTCTCCCTTCATAATTCTTGTTGTCCGAAAATAGGAGCATCTTTCATCTATTCTTCGTCAAAATATATAATATAATGATCGCTGAAGAGAATTTAAACCGATCATAGATGTTCTTGACCGAAGACAGTCATTAATAACTCATAAATTTCTTTATCGTGTCACATAGAAATTCAATGTTAGATCGCCGTATATCACGAAAAGATTCTCAATCGTAAGATGCGTAAAACGCGATATCTTGCAATGCAATATAGATATGCAGCATCAATTGACTATGAAACCGGTTTGGAAAAGAAGCAAACAAGCATCGAAACAACTTTTACGTAGCAACAAATACATTGTAGGTCATTTATTATTCAAAAGCAAACTGCATCGAACATGCAAACATTATGAAAATACTAAAAAGATAATTACTCTTGAAGCGCGATTATAGACAGCTAAAATTGGATGGATCAGAAATGATTCGTTTATCGATTACATTTATTGTGTCATCATATACGTTTATAACTATCCCTGTATTTTATAGTTATATACATTTTGGACTTTAATTAAATTATAGTAGAATATTTTTTAAAATAGACTGCGACATAAAAACTTAGTAACTGCAAAACAATACATTTAAATTTATATAAAGCAAATATATAAAGCAATTTATTATTGCTTTATATATTGTAAATGACTGTCTCGAAAAGCAATCATACAACATCGTTGTGCTGGGCAATTAGTGACTGGATGCGTATTAACTTCTATAAAGTGTATACTTATCGAAAACCAGTCCGAGCAGTTTAATAGGAAAGTAGTTCTCGCCGAGATATCATGTACAACGTCCTTGTACAATTTAAAGGTAATGATAGCAAAAAAGATATGTCAAGTTGGTTTCCTGCTTGACAAAGTTCTTATACAATCTCTACGCAAAATATAGCGGAGACAGGAACGCGCCTTGACATCATAATAATAACTGCATTTGATTTGTACGCAAATGAAAAGGAATTTTTTTTTGTGTATTTTTTTTATGTATGACGCGAATATGAAGTAGGTGATTTTAAACGATAGTTGTAACATATTGAAAGACGTTTTAAAAGATACTGCATTATTTTTTGAACAAGTCAATTCAGAAATAAATCAATGGAAATTGATTTATTTAAATAAATACATAAATAAATACATGCTGTATTATTCGCGTCATTCCGAGAATTATTATTAATATGTTAAAAAAAGATATACATTACGTCTTAAACAATAAATTAGAAAAAAAATCATGAATTTTTTTACAGCAATTTACATAATTTTTTCTGACAAAAAAACGTCATACTATAAATTACTTCATCAAACAAAACCATTCTAATACAGTTTATTGTAGACAATATTAAAAATCCTTACTTAAGAAAGTCTATATCCCGAATATATTAATTTTTTTAAAGATGTATTATATAGTTATTCTCTCTGCAAAGTGAATTAAAATTGGAAATGTGTTAATATTTATATTACAAATTATATGTATGTGAAAGATGAATGAATAACATTATGTTTTTATTCAACAACATGCTTTTATTATTTACTTATTTTATTTATCATTAAAAATTAAATTATTTTAAACAATAGTGACAAAAATCTCAGTTTTTTAATATAAGTACTTTGAGTACTCAAAATGATTTATGCAAAATTTCATCGTAATGAAGCGATTGTTGTATAAATAAAAAATAAATCAATTTTATTTATTCGCAAAACACCTAATATAATCTGTAATTTTGTCATAATTTTTTCGTTGTTTTGAGAATGTATGTAATATATCCTCAAGTCATTTTAAAATAATGTTTTCAATTTTAGTGTAACACGCAGAGAATTATCATGTAAATATAAACAAATTTACGATATGTGTAGATATTTCTATATGTGTATAATTTTTATTATTAACAACGGAATACTTCTGTTCCGTAGTGTCGTAACAAAACGCGAAGAAAGTGATACCGTGTATCACCAAAGAAAGTGAGACCGGTATGGTGAAGAAAGTGAAATGTTTGGACAAGATTTGAAAAAAAATTGAAAGTGCGTGACGAGGTCATGGAGAGATAACATGATGAAATCGATCTTTTTTATGTAAAGAGACGGCAAGTTTATGATGACGTGGAATAGATTTACGAACATCAGTACTAGAATTTACTTGTAATTTTCAGTCGATTTTCAGTTTGGTTCCCGTCCCTTACTTCACCAACCCGCGCGCAATTTAAATATATTGGTCGGGACGGGACTTAACCTGAAAATCGGCCGAAAGTTGCAAATCAATTCCAGTACTGACGAATATCTAGATATTTAATAACAAAGCACAAACTCCAAAGCTGAGGTAATTATCATAAAGAGAAAGCGATATTCTCTCTAATTTCTCAATGTGTCGCATTTGTTTATTGACATATGAACAATAAGCGTTAGGATTGCTCGCAGGAAATACCTATTGCTACGTTTTAATTAATAAACTGATGATAAATCTTAAAAAAATGCGATTTATAATAACATAAGTAATCAAGTAATCAAGTAATATCGAATAATAATGATTTAATGTGGCAAAAAAGTTTTAATAAAATAAAAAAATGAATTCCTAATAAAATGTATAAAGATCGTACTAGATGATAAATTAAAAGCGATTTTGTACAAGAATAAAATATTTATGATAAAACTTAAAAATAAAAGATTTATGATAAAAGCTTTAATCAAAGTGATTTTTAAGTGATAAAACTAAATTAAAAGTGATTTTTGGAAGCGATCGTTAATTAATTGTTTTTATAAAATTTTTTAGTTTTTTAGATATCTCCCACAATTTTTCTTTTAATAATCTTTTCACTAATACACAATTACTAACAATATAAGGGAATAATTAAAACGTGACAATCGTGAATACTCACATGAATCATGAAGCATAATCAATAAATGACTGTTTAACAATAAAGAAAATGAAATGAACAAAATGACATTTTATCTGCTACTACTGCTTATTTGTATCTATGGGAATATATGTATAAATTTTAATCTAATAATATGTTTCGAGCTAATATAATAATAACAAGATGACAAGTGTGCTTATTTTAGCGATTAATATGCGCAAAGTTATATTTTATTTAAAACGCACGCCTTTCTTATTTAGCGTCACTTTAGCGCGCCTTTACATTATTATTTCATTGGCAATAATTATATGTGGAAGCTCACTTGTATCCGGTGAGAATATTTAAGAGCGTTGACTTTCCAGCGCCTGAAGGGCCCATAATAGCCGTTAGCTCGCTGGAGCGCAATCTGCCGCTGACGGATTTGAGGATTGTTTTCGAATCTGAAATAAAAAAATCGAACTTTTAGATTCGTGAAAATTAAAAATAAACATTTAATTTAAGAATAAATCTTAATGTTTCCTATTTATCAACATACACTGTTAAAAATAAAATGTTAATTTTAACTTAATAAAGACGTGTAGTGGACTTTTCGAGATATGCAAAAATATTAAAATTAACATTTTATTTTTGACAGTGTAATAGTTCCAATAAACAAGTAAAAGTATTTTCTGTTTACGCAAGAATTAAAAAAAAAATGAAATAATTATGTTATGACAAAAATCATTATATTACGACAAAGTTAAAGAGGATGTCAAAACCTCGGATCCTAATTTAAAAAAAAAAATTTTTTATATTACCAAATATTATTAATACCATCACGTCATTCATCAATAAACTTACTGTTATAACTGATTATATAGGTGCTTTAATAAACACCTATAATTAATTTTTTCATTAGAGTAGACAGAAAGGCAGATTAAATATAACTTCCTTCCAAAATGTAATGTATAAAATAAATTGCAATGATTGTAACGCGTCATATGTGGGACAAACAAAGAGATAACTTGGCACTAGAATTAATAAATATAGAAATAATATCAAATATGAGTCTAGATATCTGTCTAGTAATCGTTTGTAATCATACGACATATCTTACAACATAATATATCATTCATTTGATTGGGAAAATTTTAGATTCTGAGAATAATTATTATAAGAGAAGAATCTCAGAAATGTTATATATTAAAGAACAAACAGAGGAAATTAACTTGCAAAAAGACACACAGAAAAGTTGAACGAATCATATTTCATTCTATTAGAGTTCATTCGGAACAATAATAAATAGACAATAATAAATAGATATTTGGATGTCATTTGGTCTATTCTATAAAAAGTTTTTACATTCGAATCTGAGACACATTTCACGTTTATATTCTGGCATTCATGTTAATCTTATAATTTATCTATTCTTTTTTACAAAATTGACTTTAACATTTAATTATGAACAGATTAATTCTCATGCTGAATTCTTAAAATCTTGTTATTAATTTTCACTGAACAATGACGATTAATGACTTTAATTTTACCTCGACATAGCGCGATACTGGACATTATAATTATTTTTGAAAAGTCAAGTACATTTTTATCACAATCTTTGAGATGACATCAATAATTTATCGATTTTGTAAGTTCTATTCATTTCGTTTCATCTACACATTGACAACAAGGCATTTTGAAATGATTCACCAATTTTAGTAATGTAAGACCAATTTTAGTATGTAAGGCTAATTTATATATACTTTTGGTAATATATATATATATATAAAAAATTGTTTTCATTTAATTTTTTCAATAATTTTTTAGTATAACTGAAGAAGGACTGGTGATCCCAAAACGTATTTTAAATTTATGTTCGATTAAATATTAATTCAAATTGTCAATCATTTTTGGCTCAATCATTGACCTTTGGTCTGTTTTCAGTTCCTGCACTAAACTAGATCTTTCTTCTCGTTTTCGACAAATATCAAAGATATATCTATCTCACTTTAAATTTTAAAAGTGTACACTAGTTCAGTCACAGAAAACAGACCTCTTGTTTAGTATTTCTTTGTTTTTATATTAATACGAGCGTTCACATATTTTTATGAAATAATTATTATTTAACAAATGTTTTTAATGAAAATGCGTAATACAACTCAGTGAAGAACAAAGTTAGAGGATATTCATTTCGAGGTTTATTCATTTTTTGAATAGGAGAGACTGGGGGCTAATAGACTCATTTTTCAGTTTCGAATTTTTACAGACAGAAATTAAGAGACTTATCGAAAAAATGAATTCTATACCAGTTACTGTATACATTTAATTACTTAATAATATTTTAATAATAAAGGGAAACTGATAAATAATATGAAAAAAATGCATTTTTCTAATGCATTCCATCTGATTCAACTAGCCCCAGGACCGGGGTAATTTGACTACGGTTATTATAAAATAAAGATTAATGTATTATTTTAAATTATATCTTTGGCTACATATTAATAAAACTTTTATAAAAATATATTTTAAACACAATATTCGCTTCGCAGGGCAAAACAATGTTTTTTTTTTTTTGCAAAATTTGTTCATTTCGTGCACGTCGAGTCTAATTTTCGAGATTGGACATGAGGGAATTAAACTTATAACATTTATCACTGAGGAAAAATCTCTTTAAAGGAATAAAATTTTGAGTAAGTACTATAAGAGTTGTCACTAAATGAATCATACAGTTCCATGCTGTGATTAGTCTACTATCCCCATCGTTCAGTTTTTAAAAACATTAAAAATACACGATACAAAGATATATAAACAAAAAAAATCTGTTGAATTTTATTAAGAACTACACTATCTATTGGTCTTTATTAAGAATTACATTTACTATCTAAGTAGAAATCAATCATATCTCAGACAATCATATACAATTGTAAAAACAAAAACTTTAAGAATAAAAATATTTACTTAGATGTACGATTTTTTAAAATTGTGGCATAACTTCTATTATAGATGTATTCACAACAAGATGTTAGCAGAGATTGAGTGACAGTCGCTGTTGCGTGCTCAGACACGTTTACGCGTATCTCACGTTTTTTGTTCTGTAGCCTCGATTATTCTACTTACCCCTATATAGTCTGACCTCAGTCTTCCCTATATTTATTCATGGATTAAGATACAGAAAAAATAAATTTATGACATGCACGTATTTACAATAGCAGATAATTAAGGGATAATATTCACAATCTTATTTTAAGAAATGTCTTAAATAATGTCTTAAGACGCTGATACAGCCTTCTGATTAGTTTACGACATCTTAAGATTATGCTTAAGATAATCTCAATATAAGAATCAACTATAAATACTGGCCTATATGTATTAGGCCCATTTCTATCAACGCAGATTAACTTTAATTTCGGTTCAACTTACTCTTTGTCTTTTTCTAGTTCTAAAGAGTAGAAGAATAAGTTGAACTGAGATTAAAATTAATCTACATTGATGGAAATGGGCATTAGTGATATTCTTGACAAGAATTGATGAATTAATCAGAATTCAATATTTTTTTTGTATGATCGTCAGTCAATCATTGATCGTTGTACCGAGATGGCACAAGTTAATCTCTGCTTTTTATGCGAAATCGACAATTAATATATATCTCGGAGATATCGAACAAAGAGAACAGATTAAAGTCCAAGACAAATACCCTCGTACATTGTATTCGTATATAATTAATGTTAATGTGATTCATATGTAGTTGCAAGGCCTTTAATGATGAGTCGATCCGCTACAATGTAAAAAGCTAAATCATTGTGTTATTTCCAGCTTAATTGAAGTGTCAATCGTTCAGCGATTTATATAATATATATAATAAGAGAAATTAAGCAATAAAAAAACGATAAAAATTAATAACAATTAAATGAATATATGTACAATCTATATATTTTTATTCATACTTAATTATATAAAGATTCGGCTTGGCATCATAATTTCTATGTATTATTTTCTTCGCATATTTAGCATTATGCAAATCAATGTGCATATTTTATTTTACATTTTATCTGTTTGCAATCTATCTGATTAAACAGATAATATATAGAACAGGTACTGTATATTAATAAAATGCATCAATTTTAATTTTAAATCTTATTATTAATCATGGCAGAAAAAATTCAAATACGTTTTCAAACAAATATTTTTCTCTTATTGTGTCAGACGCAAGTTTTGTTTGTGCCAATAATATAAAATCATTACAATATTCTTGAAATGTGGGAATTCCGTTTCAATTTCAGAAAAGTTCTTTTAATATTTTTATAGTTAATTTACTTATTATTTTACTTATTTAAAGAAACACATTTTTGAAACACGTTTTTTATTAAAGAAAAATAAAATTATGAATTATTCTTCAACGCGAAGCATGTAATTTTTTAGTTCAGTATCCAGGAAGAGTTTTTTATTTCAGCGATGATAATATGATGATATACTGATAAACACAAAATTTATGAAGCGACAGGAAAAAATATTTACTATATAAATAAAATCTATCAATTTGACTCAATGCAATGTAAGAAACGAAAAGATTGTTTTATCAGTCGAATGTCATGTAATTTGACCTCCCGATTTTATACTTTCTCGATTTTATATTCTTATTTCAAGATTATAAGTAAAGAAATATTGGATTGTCCAGAAAGTTCGTGCCGACTAACCTATATAATTTAATAAATGTATACTAAAATTTAAATCTTCTGCCTTTCAATTTTCCTTCAACATCGGCACGAACTTTTCGAACAACCCAATAGATAATAGTCTAAATAGCGCTTTAACAATCGCAGCTTCCTCTAAATAGAAACACTTGATTTAAAGTTAAGCTACTTTTGCTATGCGTCTGTTCCAAGGAAAAAGCAACGAGAACGAGCTAATGTATTGTTGACCGCAAAACTTTGCATATTGTTTCTCACGTTGCGGCCTGCATAATCAGTGAAACAATAGACTATACGATGTCCGGAAAAACATGATTCTCTTAAAACGCAATTCTCTGTTCTTCGATTTTAAAACTTTAACACATTTAATAGATACTATAAAGGTAAAATAAAATATGTAAAATATATAAATATATAAAAAAATATACAAATTTTAGCTAAATATATAGAAAATAAAAGTCGGATATTTTTTAACTATTATAATATACATTACTAAAAGTTAATTTTACAGGTACTGAAGAGTTATTTAAAGATCATTTTATCTGAGATCTCCAAAAGCGTAACAAAAAATGTTTTATTCATTAATCATTTTTAATTACTATTACAGAAAAACAGTTAAAAAACAGTTTTACTGAAATTAAAAAATTCAAGTACTGATCAGAAGAAAATAATTTGATAAAAATAATTATGGAGAACACTCAAATTGATGTCAAAATATTTTGCTACATTGTTTATCATATATGTATTGAGTTTCATACATTATTTTAATGATTTGA